TGAGCTGGTGGGTACTAAGTTTGGGAAGTACCCTCGGAATCCCAAAGGGATTGTTGCCCCAGTCGCCCGATGAGATGGACAGCTGGATAGTGATGAGCTGTCTGGGTGATCGACCCTCTGAACTGCCTCGCTTCAGGAAGAATTGCCTCGTGGGATGAGAATTCGCCGACTGGGCGCGGATCCTGGAGGCCCAAAATACGGCTGTTCGGTTCAACGGCCGCCGCCTCGATCCCTGAAGGTTGTGTCGGGTTGGTGGCGTCAAACGTGTTGGCTTTCTGAGATCGCCCCTCCTTCGGTCAATTCTTGACCGATGTTCGCCACGGCCACCGACAAGCTTCTGTCAAGTGTCGGGCTTCAGCTCGGTCTGATTGACCTCAAAGCACCGTCACAATACGACAGGTCAATCGTTTGGGTCCGCCTCGAAATGACGATTGAGCAATGGTTTGGCCCGGATAGACCAGCCGCCGTCCGAGCGTTACCCCTTCTGTTGCTCTGCTGCTCTGCCGCTCTGCCGTCTTTGTCCGTCGGTCTCGTGTTGACCGCTAGACTACCTAGACTGGCCGTTGTCGGGCAGCAAGCGCTGGCGCGCGGGGGGTGCTGATTTTCACTGCACAGAATAAGGTATTCGCGCCGGCGAATTTGATGGCGCGTAGCCTGGGCTTGCCGGCGTAGATCCCCGAATGTAACGACTAGTGAGTCAAGGTGCTGATGATTGTCGTGCCTCAGAGGCTCTGATGCGACCAGTTTCGGAGGGCCACAGCCATCGGGACGCGGAATCTGAGGACTTGCCGAGAGCAGCGTCGACGCAAGCTTTAGTGAAGGGCTGCTGAAATGAGGTCTGCGATCGCCTGGGATAAGAAACGCAAAAAAAGAGAGCAAAAACTGCGAAACAGCATCGCCAAAGCGTTTGGTCTGGCTGGGGCCAGTCACTTGCTATATACACCAGTCCGCAATCATCCCTAATTTGGCCATCACCCGTCACGACCCGTCACGGCGCATCTGAACGCCTCGCTGTACCATCAAGCCCGTCCACTTGGGTCTCGGGCCATTTGTGAGGCATGGCCGTTGGTGGGATGCCAACATGCACTCCGTACACGGTAAAGTGCAGTGAACGTCGCCCCCTCCCCCGCATATTGCGGGCAATACAACGAGGGCTTCTGAATGGCTGCCCAAGCCCCTGGGGGCGCCTGAGTGTGTCGGCTGAAGGCACTGAAGGATGTCGGCTTAGGGGACTTTGCGGTCGTGCGCTTGGCATCGGTCCTGATTCATCCGCCAGGCCCTGGGCAGCCTGCGCACTGCTCACACCTCCCAAGTCTGGCCGAGAAGGGTCCTGGTGTTGTCAAGCGTGTTCTCATCTCGTTTGTCATGGATCCTCGACATGAGGACCAATTCGGTAAAGCGGTCATGGGCCTTGAGGCTTGCTATCCGGCCCTTTCTCGAGCACATGTGAGCCTCGACCGGGCGGTGAGGATGGTCCATGATTATCGAACACCAAGCGTCCTTTTGAACTACGCACTCAGTTGTGACGGAAGAAACTGTTCCTTCTGAGGTGGACCAGTAGCTCATATCTCGTTAGTCTGCGCCATACCACTTTCGCCTGCGGCCTAATTGACTCCTGATCGAATGTTGGTAGGCTGGTCATAAAAGTAGGTCTAGGAAAGTATTGGCCGCCTCCTCGGAGGGCTGGCGTTGGACGTCAGACGCCACCGGGGCCAGGACATCAAGGAACTTGCTGGCGACACCCTCAAGAGTCCCTTTTGTGGAAAAGATGTTGACCATGAGAGGTGCAGTGAACAGCCAAGCAAACCACCCGCGCCTCTACCTGTTGAGCGTAACGTTTCGAGATGGAGTTTGATCATGTATCATATAACGCTTACCAGACTTTGCCAATATTCACAGCCAGCATGCCATTCCCATAGGAAATGGGGGGGAGTCAGAAAACTGTCAAGTCATCTGTAAAGACGAATGTGTGTTCCGGGTCAGATCAACTTCCATGTTGGTCCACATCTTGGCACCTAGCTCTGTTCAATTCGCAGTCCAGTTGGAGCAGCAAGCCGTTTCAATGTGGAATCTCGACGAGCATTTCTGCTTTGTCGAATCCGTGCAACCAGGCTGTTTGAGAAGCACCGGTTAGGAGCTTCAACTGGATTGTGGCGACCTGTGGGCATTCCTACAGGACTGTAAGAAAGCCGGAAATAGATGACTGGAATGTTGCATTGCTGTCCGAACTGTGTGGGAAGCCAAGATCTGGGCTTCCAGCCCAGTTTCCAGGCATTCTGTGAGGGTGCTTGGCTATTGTCCTGCTCGCTCTCGGTCTTCCTGTTTCTGATCTCCTCCCGGGAGTCATCCAGAGGTGGAAGGTGTAGATTGCAGGCTTCTTGTGGTCGATGCCCAACCAAGCTCTATCTGATTGAAAGGGCGGCGAAATTGATTGCAACATCATAAGACAGAGCTTAAGTAGATCGAATTGAGCGAGCCATGAAGCGTTAACAACAGTGTGCAGGCTGTGAAGTGTGAAGCAGTTGGCGATGCGAGATCACGACGAAGAGGTAGTTGTGGTGAACAGGATAGTAAGGCAGGCCCTACTGTGTGCACCTGCAGTTCTGACACAGCGCTTGGAGCCCACAAAGGAGCTACTGCCCATCTGCCCAACTGTCCTTGCCTACTCCTTGCCTTCAGGGGACTTTCCCATGTCACGTGCTTTTGTCCGCTCCCAGGCGTTACAGCAAGCATTCCAATGCCCAGTGTGGCTCAAACTCAAGGCACAGCGGTCGGACGCTGTCCTCCACTATGGTCCGTGCATATGGCTACCACACGTGACCACGCTAGAGCTCGCAACCTCGTCGATGCATCTGGCGACGAGGAGACGCTCGACTCAACACCAAGGCTCTATCTTTGGATCATCACCATACTCCACGACATTGATCAGTTCCAGTATCCATTCGATGCTCTAGCGATATCGCAAACCTTTGCACCCACTCGTTCAGGTTCGTTCATCTCTTATGCGCCCGTGCCAGCTCCCTCGTACCCTTGCTTTATCTACCCTGCAGTCGCAAGCACACACTCAATGGCTCGCGACCGAACCCATCTCCTTCCACCGCTCCCCTATTCTGCATGTCTGGAAAGCTAACAAAAAAAAAGTTCTCTAGACACCCGTAACGGCCCCAAGCTATTCAATCTTGTCATTGTACCCTGGCATCGACGGCCGTCAGTTTATCCAAGTCTTTTTGGCCTGTTCACCCGAACCTTGTTCTGACTGGGTTTCTTGATCAGCGCGGCTCGAAACCTTCGACGGCAGCCCGATCGAAACTGCTCTATCTATCTCCGATCGAGGAACACATGCCATCATAAAAAGTGCATGACGCAGATTGCGGTGCTCGACCCGACTCGACGCGACCTCTCCCTCTTTAACGCTACTCGATGCAAGAGGACGCCGCCTTCGGATTCCATGCCCAGACGCGCGATACCCAGGTTTTCCTTCGTTTCCAACTTGACGTGAGCTGCGCCAATACTGGCGACTGCTTCACGCTATCCTTATAAGACGTCAAACCATTTCTCTCGTGCATGGTCTGTCAGGTGGCCGATGGTTACCCACACTTGGAGCAGACCGTTCGAGAACCCAACATCATCTCACTTCTACCGCCGCAACTAAACACCTCCATCCACGACTCGCCCCAAATCGAACCCCAACTTCCTCGACTTCCGCCCCTTCCATACTCTCTTCGAAACGACAACCGGCTTCGAGGCCGCCCAGACACGCGGCATGTTCTCCCAGAACCACCAACAGGGTCACAACTCCCGCATGAACGGCACCCTCGGCGGTCAGCGCATGCCTGTCCAATTCAACTACCAGCAGGGGCAACACCATCAGCAGGGCCACGTTCAGCACCACCAGCCCGGTCAGCAAGACCATGCGGGACATAACGGCAATGGGCCCGTCCTGGGGCACCATTCGTCCTACTCATCCGGCGTCATGTCAAGCGCAAGCCCTTTTACCAATGCCATGCAGAATGGCCACACATCGACCACACGTGGAGGACAGGCCCAGCCGATCAGTGAACACTGGGCCGAGCAGCTTCGCATGCACAAGGAGGCCGAGCGTGCCCACACAGCCATGACGGATCAGAACCAGCCACATTATTACGCTCGACTTAAGGCGGCCGAGAATAAGGGCATCGGCTATCCGTCTCCTCCATCTGGCAAGAACCCCTCTGGCGATACCGACACGGACGATAGGAGGCGCCCATACAGCGTCGAGAAAGCAAGAGGCCCTCAGGCGTGGCACAATCTGGACATGAGCGGTCAAGGGCTGCGAAACCTAACGCCTGCCTTGTTTGCCTATACTTTCTTGAGCGAGCTGTACATTGCCTCGAACAAGATCTCGCATCTCCCCGCCTCCATCGGCCAGCTGCGCCAGCTGCGCCTTCTCGAAGCCTCGTACAACCAAATCGAAATCCTTCCCCCTGAGCTCGGCATGTGCACCTACATGAAGGAGCTTCTCCTCTTTAACAACCAGATCAAGGTCTTGCCGTTTGAACTTGGCTCCATGCATCTTCTCGAACAACTGGGATTAGAGGGCAACCCCCTTGATGCCACCCAGAAGAGCACTCTTGCGGAGAAGGGCACCAAGACTTTGATCCACATGCTCAAGGAGAAGGGAGAAGGTAGCTACTTCTGCCTAAAGGATTGGATGGTCTGGCCGCTGACTGACACTTTGCAGAACCCCCCGAGCCGATCGAGAGGAAGTTTGTTACGATTCAGGAGGACGTCAACCCCAGCTTGGAGAGAATCAAGGTCCTGTCGTGGAACGTTCTTTGTGACAAATACGCAACACCCCAAACCTACGGATACACGCCATCGGAACCTCTCGGATGGGAATATCGCAAGAAGCTGATTTACAAAGAGATTGGCGAGAAGAGGGCGGACTTCCTCTGTTTGCAGGAAATCTCGACCGAAGCCTTCAAGGAAGAGTTCAGCCCCGAGCTGGCAAAATACGAGTACAGGGGCGTACAGTGGCCCAAGACTCGTGCCAAGACTATGAATGAGCGAGATGCCCTCGGCGTCGATGGATGTGCCACCTTCTTCAACGCGAGCAAATTCATCCTGCTCGACAAGCACGTTGTTGAATTCGCGACCATCGCCATTAACAGACCAGACATGAAGAACCAGCATGATGTCTTCAACCGCGTCATGCCCAAGGACAACATTGCTGTGGTCATCTTCCTAGAGAGCCGGCAGACCGGCGCTCGTTTCATCCTTGTCAACGGCCACCTGGCATGGGAGTCGGTTCTGGCAGACGTCAAGCTCATCCAGACGGGTATTCTCATGGAGCAAGTCGCCAAGCTCGCAGAGCGTTGGGTGCGCATGCCCGCCGTGAAGGACAAGAAGCCCTTTGCATTCTCAGGATCAGGCGACAAGGCATCCCCTGTCGTGGAGCCTGCGCCCAGCCAAGAGTACCGCAATGTCACCGACATACCCCTTCTCGTTTGCGGTGACTTCAACTCAACATTCGACAGCTCCGTGTACGAACTCTTGGCCCAAGGCCGGGTCTCGCCTGACCACAAGGAGCTCGCAAGCTTCCAGTACGGCAACTTTACTCGCGACGGCATCGAGCACCCCTTCAGCCTGCGCGACGCCTACGCTCCGACGCATGGCACGCCCGACCAGCTGCCTTACACAAACTACACGCCAGGATTCACCGATGTCATCGATTATCTCTGGTTCTCAACCAACACCTTGGAAGTCGTCGACCTCCTCGGTCCTCCCGATGCCGAATACCTCAAGCGTGTCCCGGCGTTCCCTCACTGGCATTTCCCGTCGGACCACATGCAGATCATGGCTGAATTTGTTGTCAAGGCAAGGAAAGACAAAAAGGCAATCGTGGAACCCGACTTTGGATCAGGAAGCGGCAGCGGTGGTGGCAAGCGCTGATGACGGAGCAGCAGCTTTCCCATCGTTAGCCCGGTTAACGTCATTCGGTTGGTTCAGGAATGAGTTCTTTGGTCGGAGTTCAGGATTGCGAGTTCGTCGTCTGTGTTTCAATCGCGCAACGTCTTCATTTATCGTACACTCGCAGGCGGTCGGGCGGGGTGGTCCGGGCGGATGGGGTGTCGGTCGTAGCCTCTGCCCTTCCTTTCAAGGTGGTCTGGCGCTCCTGGAACCGAGGAGGAGGGAAAGGCCAGTGGCGCGTGTCCCACGCCTCAGCAGATCTCGTCGTTCGCAATGGGTGGAATGGGGGTCATGGCTGGTGGGTGGAGTGGAAATGGTTCACCCGACGCAGGACAGGGGGAGCTCTGTAGATGGAGTGTGCTCACATATAGCTAACCAACTGCGATTCGTCTTTCGTTCTCATCGTGCTATTCTGGTCTGATCCGGTGAATGCAGTGGTGGAATTCAAAGTATGATGGATTCATTCGTTCAACGTTATCATATGGGGAAGCCTCAGGGGCTGACGGGATGATCTAGACAGCTGCTCCAAG